ATCTCGGCCCGGGCAGCCACGGCCCTTCGCCACCCGGCCCCACCTTGGCCCGGGCAGCCACGCCCCTTCCCCATCCTCCTGCTGCCGCTGCCGCCAAGCTCTCCGCCGCCCGGCCCCACCTTTAAGTTTTTTTCCTGAAATTTCCCTTAAAATGAAGGTGCGTGTTATACGCCTGTGCGTGTTATACGCCAATAAATACGGTATATTCTTATATCTTACTTTTGGGGATCTCTTGCAACTTCAGCTTATATACATCGCTACCAGAGATATTCTCTGCCAATCTTATTTGCCAGTCCCCTATCCCAGAATTTAACCGTAGCAAAAGAGCGGTTATAGGAAGAGCTTCCACTAGGTTGGACTTACCTGAAAGGACATATGCATTAAAATATCTGCTGCTTCACAACATTTGGTAAAGGAATCATTTTGCTGAGTCTCATTTGAAAGTCTCATTTTCCAGGCATTCCAGAGCAAAGGGATAATTTGCATCAGTATCTGGTTGTCAACCTTGACAACTTTAAGACTTGTGGATTTCAGCTCCCAGAATTAGGAATTAGTGACTGTTCAAGATTACAATGGCACTGAAAAAAGTGACTTATGACCATTTCTCACACTTACCACCATTGCAGCACCCCCATGCTCAGGTAATCAAAATTCAGATGCTCATATTATGCAACTCATATTATGATGGTTGCAGTGTTCCTAAGTCATGTGATCACTTTTTGCAATCTTCTGGCAAGCAAAGTCAACGGGAAAGTCAGATTCATTCATTCAACCTTGTTACTAACTAAACAACTGAAAAGAAAGGTTATAAAATGGGGCAAACTCACTTTAAAATGGTCTCATTTAGTGACAGAAAAGTTGGGCTCAGTTGTGGTCATTAGTTAAGACTACCTGTATACATTTTGATCCTGTGCCTATCAGCATCCAAACTATATCGTCCTGTAATTCCACACTGAAAACTACAAATGACTCTTTGAGAAGCCACCGTAGTGAACTGTAATATGTATGCCTTGAGTGAATATTTTCTGACCTACATCCAAAACATGCTTTATATAGTAGTTAGATATACCACCCCAAGAAATGTATGAAATATAATACCTTTAACCAGGACATTTAGTTAAAACTATTGTTTTTATCACTTTGCTTGAGTTTTATGTATATAAGTTTTAAACCCTGTCTAATATTGTAGGTTCGATTTAAGAACTGAGTCAAGCTGAGATTGACTTAAGAACCAAACTTACTAATGTTTAATTGTCTGGTCTGAATCTTGTTGATAGAAGTTGAAGCAATTTTACAATTCTTATTGTGGAACAGGAAGAAAGCATGCTTACCATTTAATACACATAGGGAATCCATAAGATTCATAACCCATATGGATAAAAAAAAACATGTCAAAATTGTGATGGAAATTCTGTGTTATGGTTAATAATTATAATGCTATATTGTTCCATAAAATACCCTGCTATTTTACTCATAACAAAGACAAAGAAAAGGGAAAGTGTTAACTCTGCACAGTTAATCACAGTAAAGATTACTTGAGACTGTAATCAATCCTACCATCTATTTTCAGTTTGATACACATGATGCTATTGTGGGAGACACATTGGGAGCTAAAGTTTCTTTTGGCAGGAATGCCAAATATGTCAATAACCAACTGCTACCTCACAATAAACATGAGGAACTCAGAGCAAGGTGTCCATTAAACCGTGGGAAAGGCAGGAGAAAGAGGCACTGGCTTAAATTGGGAGGGTGCAATAAGTGTTGCGTCTACATTTTATAGAAGGCAGTCAATTAATTTAAGTGGCTTCAGTCTAGTGTGCAATAAAGATTCTTAATTAGCTCTGCCGTATCAAATGTCCAGGTAGTTTCTGCTGAATCAGAGCTAGTTCAAGGAGGGACCCAACAGCTTGCCCCATGCTGAAGTTCCTCTTCCATAATATAGAATTGTTTAAATTAACAAGTTTTGACTTGATTTTTCCACTCCAAAAATGCAACGTCCTTTGTATTCTATAGGATCCTTTTTCTGTAGTTGATTTTGACTCATTTCAAAAGCCCATTTTAGTTACTACTATGAGAAGCCATTTTATTGATATTTAATCAATCTGTTAAAACTAGCCAAA